TCGAATAAAATAATACCTTTTTATGTTTATATAAATTTGTTTTTTTTCTATTTTATATATTTGTTGTATCTAAAAATTTAGGGTAATATTATTTTGTACGAGGAATCCATAAAAATACTCCATAACTAACTAGTAAGATATTTTCGAGGATTGTCTGTACAAAATAATATTCCTTTTAATTTTTCTAAAAAGAAGAAGAAAATGATCATAATTTAAATATATATATTCAAATTTGTCAATTTCAATATTTAGATGACGTATAATCGCTTAGGTACCGATTTCGGGCATTGTGGGGATGTTAATCCTTCCCCACACGTAATCGACTCCCGAACCCTTTTCAAAACGAATATCTAGTTAAATGCAAATCATTTTTTATCTTTCAAAATTATTTTCTTAAAATTATTTTAAAAGGTATTTTTGGGTATTCGACCTATCTAACCCAAAGGTCGATCGCGACTCCGGAAATATATATTTGTTTTATTTTAAAACCCAACTTTTTCCCAAGATTAAGTTAGATCGATCCCCGCCATAGCCCTAAAAAGCGTAAGAATCATTCCGACAGATTAGTCTGAAGAGTAACCTTAGAATCTCTAAATTCTTTTTATCATCGCTAAAAGCTTTAATAATGAAATTACCTGAGTATAAAATTATGAAATTGCCCCTATGAGGTAAAAATGGCTCGAACTGACCTGAGAGCGAAAATACCTTGATAATTCGTATATTAATTCGATAAATCATTGTTTCATCTGTTAAATTCCCAATCTGCTCATATAGTCACTGATAATCAGATCCTAACATTCAAGAAGGTACATGATCTATAATTGTTGATTTATCAGCAAGCACTTAAAGACTAAAATATTGGAAGTACTAGTCATGTTTGAATTATTCAGAAAAATTGAATTAAATAGAAAGACTGGATGAAAGGAAATGAATGGAATACCCTTGAATTATAATTTGACCAAAATGTCCTTGCACTGCAAAAAGACCAAGACTACCCTTAAAAACGAAAAATAACGCTGAACAGATATATCTGACCAAATTACCAAAAATAGTACATATGTTTGGATTGATCAAAATTACTGAAATGTTCAGAGTTGCGAAATAACTAAAATAACCTCCAATGTTCAAATGACCAAAATACTCTGAGCTCTAAAAGAACCTGAATACCTTGAAGTCTAAGATGATAGAATTAACCTCGACTATTGAAGCGGCCCATTTTTCTAACGACTTAATAGGTGGATATTGTTGCAATTCATGAATAAATTAAACACCATCGAAATATTTGTTCATCATGTGAAGATCTGGTCGATGTTGACTATAAAGAAGGTTCGTTCAACTAGTGCAATCAGTACTGAGGAAGGAATATTTGTTTGTCTTCTTAAGATCTATTCAACGATGATTCAGAAGATGATCAGTTAGGCTAGTGATGTCAGTATTAAAGTGTGAATATCCTTGAAGTGCATCGGTTTGACTGGTTGGCATGTATCACAATGCTAGGATTTATTCAGTTCAAGTTGACTCGGTATTATGATAAATCAAAATGGATCTTAAATACCATGAATCATCGTTTCATTCTTATTATATTAAATTACTAAGAACCCTCCAAGAACCAAATGTCCAAAATGCCCTAAATTTCCTGAATAATGGAATCACTTATGACATACCTGAAATCTCAAGTAACTTTGATACAAAAGATTCTGAACACCTTCGTGATAAATTAATGCCTCTGAAAAATATTGGAATACTATATGATCTTGATAAATCATTTCCCGTATGACTAATGAATTTGTTAGTTATTAAACCCCCTTTTTATAGGGATAATGATTCTGAAATCATATTAAATTACATAAGTTTCATAGTCCCCACTTGATAATAGCTAAGTACCTCCGAAAAATATCTGGATCCTCTAATGTGTTCCCATTGTACTATATGATTGTTTTATCTGTTTTGAAATGTGTTTCACCGAGATTTATGATTTACTGGCTTATGAACCATGGCTACATGGTATGTATTCTCTGATTACCTGTTTTCACTGGAAAATATAATTGTTCTTGATTCATGGATCATGGGATCTACTGGTTACTACTTGAACAGTTTCATTGGGACATTATCTGGGTAGGCTGGAGTATGAACGTTCAACTCTGATCAAGCTGATAATTCCTTACGGACCTAAGGTGGCCCTCGGGTAGGCTCCGAGGCCCCGGGAAACTTTCTTGGGTAGGCTCTCAGGCCCCAAGGAACCCCCTTGGGTAAATTATGGGACTGCATATGGTGTACTGGTAGAGGGTAGTTATATGTTTGATTTCATTGTCACGCTTACGAGATTTTACTAGATCACGAACCTGATATTACTCTTTACTGTTAAATCTAATTTCTATTGGATATTGTATGGGTAGGATTTTAAAGTATGGAGGTTCAGTTTTGATCAAGTTGGTAAATCCTTATGGACCTAAAGAGACCCTTAGGTAGGCCCCAATGCATTCCCTTAGGGTGGCTCATTTGTTGTGTGCTTAGGGTAAATCCTTATGGATGCAGTTATGGGGAATCATATAAAGGTGTTCAGTTGGAGGGTTTTACTATGGTTTTAAAAATATGTTTTAAACTATTATTGTTTTAAAAAGATATGTACATTTTCACTGGTTTTGGTTGGAACACACTAGACATCATATTCTGATATCCTAAACTTGATCCTCTGAATGTTTCCTCCGAACTAAAATCTTCATGTCTTTTACTCGAAGAAATATCAGTGGAACCACGGCTCATCCTGAAAACCTATAGACGTCTAAATCAACAAGGAAAATTTATGTTTTTCCATTTATATGCATGTCCTTCAACATAACTTGGTAGTTATGTATTATTGAGCTTCCCAAAGATCACTCTTTTACTCTCTATTTCATGTTAAAAGAATTGAACCAGCGCAACTATTGACATCAGTAAAGGAGTTCTACCGGCGTTGCTTGCAGAGTACAATGCATGTGATTAGGGGCATGTAGGTCACATTTAATAGTGATATTGAGTTTGGAACTTGTATTTTAAGTTTTAAATTGTTTTATGATTTTACATGTTTTAACAAAAAATTTAAATTTTCTTGGATTTTAATTGTAGGTCGCTCTGGTGTCCCTAATGTGACACCTCGGATCGGATAGGGTCACCCGCATCGGTCTGAGGGTGTTACAACTTATTTGATTCTTGAGGAAAAAGGACTAAACATATATACATTCTTGTATATACTCTTTGTAGACACATCGAGGACTTCAGTGGATGAAGGGTTTAATTGTGGGTTATGAGTTCACCCTAATCTTAGAAAGTTCATGATTCGTTCACTTATCTGAGAGAAGAATTACTTATCATCAATGTGTACTAGTTCAATATACGATCACTAATGTTTAAGCAATTAATCTCGCATTTGCTCTTCTCGTGTTTTAACTTAAATGCTCTCATTTTTACGAAAGAACTATTTCACACTAGTGGGGTATTGTTGGTTAATGCTAAAAACTGTAACAATTTCATAATGGTATTTAATTCTATCTAAAATATAATTAAATTGTGCATTTGAAATGACATTTTTACCCTCACTATTTAGCCTATAAATAGTGGGTAATTTTCTCTTTTGAGAAATCATCCCATGACATTTACCTTGAAACACTTTTTCTGCTTTGAGTGTTGTTTAAGTTGAGAGAAGAGCAATACCATCAAGTCCACTTCATCTTTTGGGTGTATGAAATTTGGAGAGTTGTGCTAACCTTAGGGGGCCATTCGTCCATTGTAGCGATTAAACACAATGGGACGAATTTGCTTCTAAGGCAGTGGATTACCACGACACAATTATCGTTCTATTTAAGTAATTTATTTAATATTTTCAATCAATACTAACGCCTCGTTTTGTAGTAGTCTATTTTTCCAACAGAGTCATTCGAGTTTCTATCTAAATTTAATTGTAAATATTTGTAATGTTACAGTACTCTTTGATTTTAATTTAAATGGTTTTATATATATATATATAATTTTCAAATTGAGTCAAATCAAAAAAAATAATTAAGTTGAGTTTCACTCATCCTATTTATAGATCATATTTTCATGTATAAATAGTAAATTTACATTGAAATTATTAGAAATAACTAATAAATATGAAATAGAGTTGGATGAAATAATAATGAAAATATAAAACATTAGTGGACTAATGCGAGAATGATCTTTCAAATTAGTTGGTAGCGATAAAATATCTTAAATTGGCTGCTAGGAACCGGTGGCTTTTCATTCAAAATTTTACAAAGAATTTATTTTTCAAAGAGAAATTTGTACTTAACCCGCAATAAATTTTGAAAATATTGTAAGGTTTTTTTTTTGAAAAAAAATAAAAGTGTTTGAAAATTATTTTAAAAGTTAGATCAATTATTACAATAGACATAAAATTTGTCATAAGGGAGTGACGTATATTATGAAATATACTAAAAAATAAAAATAAAATTATATTAACTATTAAAAAGTTATATAAAATACGTTTGGAAAGAGTGGCGAATTTTAATTATTTATTATATTTTATAAAATTCGTTACTCCTTCACGATGGGTTTCTCATGTACTATACAAACGATAGGTATACTATACATTTAATATTTAAACTATTATTTTAGATTTGTTTTAGTGTCTAAATTTTTAATATTTTTAAAAGCATACCTAATATTTATTTTTTATTTTATTCTAGTATTCATCATTAAAAACTTAACGCATTTAATACTTAAACTATAAGTTTTTATCCATTTTAACACCTAAACTTTCAAATAAAATTCAAAACTTACATTAAATTTTAAATAAAATACTAAAATAAAATAAAAATTAAATTTTAAATATAACTTTAAAAAAATTAAAAATTTACATACTAAAACAGGCCAAATTATATAAATCATAAAATAATTTTCAAACACGTTAAAAAAAAAAAAAGTCCCCCTTGATTATTTAGTCAAGAAGCCCTTACCCTGAAGCGGACGACATCAAAATCTGACTAACAAAATAAATAATTCAACTCTCTCTTTATATAAATTTTCTCATGATCCAAACCAGAAGCAATCGATTAATGCAACACATACAGAGGCGAGATGCTGGGAGAGGAAATCAAGAGCTTCATCAAGGTATGGTTAATCGTCCTATCATCCCTCTGTTATTGCCATTTCATTGCCAAAACCGTTCCCAAAGGTACCAAAAGACTCAGTTTTCTCCTCCCCGTCGTCTGCCTTTTTCTCCTTCTCCCTCTTAAACTAAACTCGCCGCATCTCGGCGGTCTCACCGCCTTCTTCATCGCTTGGCTCGCCAACTTCAAGCTCTTATTATTCGCCTTCGACCGAGATCCTTTAAACACCCATCTTTCTCTCCCACTTTTTGTAACCCTAGCTTGTTTACCAGTTAAGATCCAACAAAACCCATCATCAATACCAGAACTAAACAAAGGAATCTCGTCGTCTTCAAGTGTTAATTATGCTGTAAAGGGTTTGCTTCTCGGGATTATATTGCGGGCCTATGACTACGTTGAGTACATGCATCCTGGTTTTATCAAGCTGCTTTACTCTTTGCATATATATTTCTTTCTGGAGATCGTTTTGGCCATCGGAGCCGCCGTGGTTCAATCGTTTTCCGGGCTGGAGCTCGAGCCGCAGTTTAATGAACCGTTTCTTTCTACCTCGTTACAAGACTTTTGGGGCAAAAGGTGGAACTTGATGGTGAGTAGCATCCTACGCCCGACCGTATACGAACCCACTCTGAGATTTTCGTCCGCCGTGATCGGGAGAAAATGGGCTCCTTTGCCGTCGGTGTTCTTGACGTTTGTTGTGTCGGGGGTGATGCACGAGCTGATGTTTTACTATCTGGGGCGCGTGAGTCCCACCGGGGAGGTGACGTGGTTTTTTCTGATCCACGGGGTTTGTTTGACGGTGGAGATCGGGTTGAAGAAGGCGTTAAGAGGGTGGTGGCGGCCGCCGTGGGTGGTTACCGGACCGTTGACGGTTGGGTTCGTGTTGGGGACGGGGTTTTGGTTGATCATTCCACAGTTCACGCGGTCTAAGGTGGATGCTAGATCGTTTGAAGAGTACGCTGAACTGGGTGCGTTGTTGAGGAGTTGTAGTGAAAGAGTGCTTAGGGTTTTGTGGGCAAAGTAAACGGTTGGGATCTTGTCAGCTTGATCTGGATGGACGGTTCTGATTAGGGAAATGTTTTGATTTTGTTGTTTAACAATTTAAGAAAGAAAAGTACGAAAAAAAGAGAAGAAAGGGTGGTATTGGACCGACCACATTTCGTGGTTTATAATACAGTAAGTAAAACAACTCATATATTTATCAATTGCACAAGACTGAGATCTGTCTTTTTGGCATATATCTTTCCTGCATTAGACTCAGATCTGTTTTTTTTTTTTTGGCATATATTGATCCTTGATTTGCTTGAGATGGCACGTGGCAGTTCAATCTTTTAACTACCCTTGATTTTGAAATTTAATATTCGAGGGCAAAAGTTATCTTTTAAACCTATATTCACTCACATTATTCAAAAAGAAAATAAAGATAGATTATTCAAAAAGAAAATAAATATTTGATATTTGATATTTGATAAAGTAATTAAATAAATAAACATTATAATAATTAAATTTAAATTTATAAAAACATCATAATAATAATTAGAGTAAACTACATATCAGTACCCTATCTATCACGTTATGATCACCACATTATTTTTTAAAATAAATTATACTTAACGTTTAGTTTTATTTTTATTTTTTTATCACGTACCATTAAAATAATAATAATATTGACATATCACAATAAGATAATATCACATTATTATTAAAAATAAAAATATATCACATCAATAATTTTATTAATATTTTAACAATAAATTAGTAAAACTAAACCAAAATATAATACTAAATATAATAATTCAAGTATTAAATATATAACTTAACCTAAATACATAAACATCATAATGATTAATCAAATAAATCTTTTCATCTACAAAACTCAATTTACTTTTCTAAAAAAATCAACCCTACATAATCAAATTAAAACCTATATATTTTTTTTTGCCATTCCTATTCACGTCACAGGTTCAAGTCACAAAATTTGTAAGTTTCGGGCGTTAATGTAACTTAAGCTTTGTTTGTTTTACGAAAAAATTTTTCCTCATTTTTTTATGTTTAGTTCACGGAAAATAAGTTGATCAATGTAAAATATTTTTCTGATCAATAATTTCTTTTAATATTTTTTGGAAAATGACTTACAATCTATTTTTTCGTAAGTTATTTTTCGAACTTTACACTTCAGAGTATAAATACTTAAAATAATATTATTTTATTTATTTAATGTTGCTATAATATTTTAATATCATTTTAATAAAAATATTAATTATTAAAATATTTAAAATATATTAATTATTATCTTTAATATCATAATAGTATACTCACTTGTATAATAAAGTATAAATACATTTATATTATTTACTACTGTAGACACTAATTTTCATCGACATATTTTTTTTCCTTTATATGTACATACATACATATTTATATATATATATATACATATTTTAAAACTACATACATAATATATTGTTTTTAATAGTTTTTAAAACTATATAATGTATAGTTTAAAAAAAAAACGTTTTAAAAACTATATAATATATAAATGTTTTCAAAATGTTTTCAAAACTATAATATATGTACAACCTGATCCGCTGGGGACAGGTAAGTGAGTCAGGCCAGAATTAATTTTCCGTTGTCTTTTTATGCGAAAATTGTAAATTTAAATTTTAATTTATCTATTCGATTCCAATTATTTACCTTTGATTATTTTGTTTCAAATAAATAGTTGTACTGATGTTTTTTAATGATTTCAGATTTTTTCAAAATTGTCATCTCTAAGCTCTAAACCCGAGCTCCGAACCCTTTTAAGTGGGGGTGAAAGCGACGCATTCGTGTGAATTTATTCACCGCATATGCCTAGCAAGTAGCCTTCGGGATTCATATACCTTATGTCTTCGTGTGAATTTATTCACCGTATGGGCATAAGGGAATGTGTCCTCTCGAGTTTAACTTAGTCCACACAAGCTTGTAATGAGCTTAGGACTAAGGGTCTGGCAAGCCCAAGGGGGCACCGGCAAGGAGAACTCGAGTACCTTTTTAGAACCTAAACCGGGAGAGTACAGGGAATTAGAGCCCACCCCGAAACCTCATTCCAAACCCTAGGATGTTTTACTTCCTACTTTATTTTCAGCTCAAAAGCATGCGAACTAGACAAATATGCGGTTAGGATTTGTTTGAAATTAGCATGCGGGATAGAGATCATGTCCGGGTAGGAATTAAAGCATGTGGGGTAGATATCATGTGGGGTAGGATTTTTTCATTTTTGTTTTGATTTACCTCACTAACTCTTTTTATTTTTGTTTTCTTTTATTTTATTTTCATCATTCGCATCATTTAAAACGAGGTGTTGATCCACCAAAAATGTGTTTGTTAAGCATGAATAATCAACATTAATGGACAAAGGGGTTACAATACAAAGAGATAAAAAGCTCAGAAGTCCAGCCGTGGTCAGAGAATACTCAAAGGCAAAGTTGCAGGGGCAATACGAGGAAAAGGTCACTGACCCGGTCGCTCCTTTTAAAAAAACTACAAGAACAAGATGGTGAAACCCTAACTGAGCGGGATGCCATTACTGATGAATTCAAGAAGCAAGCTTTGGATAGTTTCTCTTGCTCCAATGGCATTTTTAGAAACAAGCTCGGCAGATAGTGAGAGCCGGAGATGCAGTCCTTCGAGACCTTTTGGGGGCAAGCATCTCATTATTTGCACATTTTAGCCAAAGGAGCCGAAATGGTTCGGCAGGATATTCAACTAGTGAAAAAGACGAAACAACCTGTCAGAAGCTGTACAGGATTCGTACCATCAAAAAGAGTTTTTTGTCTCTTCAGACGTAACACTTTTGTCACCAATAGGGGTTATTCAGAATAACAGGCACATTTTTTGGTTCAATGCCTCAGACATTTCATGCATCACATATTTAGACATTTTGCATTTCTTATTTTTTGTGCATTTTGTTTGCATTCACATTAACTAATATATACATGTCTCATCAAAAGGAGTAAATACTGGATACACCGCCTCAAGTACTGGACACACCCCATCCACATAACACTCGTTTGAAAAAGAAGAGGATGGAAGCCAGAATTACACAAATCGAGGAGAATATGTTAAAACTACAGAAGGAGTTAGAGGACAAGATAAACCAGAACAGTCGAAATACTCTGGAAACAATCACAAAGAACCAAGAGTCCTTGGTTGATCAGATCGTTGCCAAGTTAGTTGGCCTACAACAGACCAGTGCGCCCGGGGCAGGTTCACCGGAAGGGGTAACTATACAACCTACCCCGCAAGTGGTTATCTCACCTGAAATCCTACCAGAACTTCGAGGGGACTCATCTGCTGCAAAAGCAAAACCCTCGTCCTCTGTATTTAACCTTAAGAACAATCCGGGTTATTACCATGTACCGGATTTGGATGAAGAGGACAAAGCGAAGAAGATGGAGAAAAAAATCAAACAATTGGAAGACCAAATGAATATAGTCAAAGGAGACCGTGACTACCATGAAATCGATGCAACGGAACTTAGTCTAGTCCCGGACTTGGTTCTTCCCCCGAAATTTAAGTCCCCAGAATTCGAGAAGTTTGACGGGAATAGTTGCCCATCCGCTCACATCACCATGTTCTGCCGAAAGATGACAGGATATGGAGGAAATGACCAACTCCTGATCCACTGTTTTCAGGATAGTCTGTCGGGCTCAGCCATTCGGTGGTACAACCAGCTCAGCCGATCAAATATCAAGACCTGGAAGGACCTGGCCAAGTCATTTCTGGAACAATACAAGCATAACAATGATATAAGGCCAGATCGAGTTATGCTACAAAACATGGAAAAGAAGCATAACGAGAGTTTCAGGCAGTACGCACAAAAATGGAGGGACTTGGCTGTGCAAGTTCATCCACCGTTGGATGAAAAGGAAACCCGAAAACTTTTCGTGCAGACTCTGAAGGCTCCATACTTCGGGCACCTGGTGGCGATCACGTCAGGAAGCTTTTCAGACTTGGTTATGGCCGGAGAAATGATTGAGTCGGCCATAAAGCAAGGCAAGATTAAGGATGGGGAAGCCAGTAAGAAGCCTCCTATGAGGGAGAGGGATGGAGAGGTTAACAACATCAAACACTCCAGCAAAGGTGTTACAATCTCCAGCCCAAAATCAACTGCGGCTGTACCGTTAGGTACTTCTAAACAAGAGTCCAGGAGGGAAAGGGAACATTTCGACCCTATTCCCATGACCTACAAAGAGCTTTACCAGCAACTTCTTGACACCCATGTGGTGTCACCATATCCAGTAGAACCCATGAAGCCCCCATACCCCAAGTGGTATGACGAGAATGCGTATTGTGAATATCACGGCGGAGTCCCAGGGCATACAATTGAGAACTGTTACGCATTTAAGAGGGTCGTACAAAAGATGCGTAACCAGAACTGGATCGACTTCAACAATTTGGGGGCATCCAAGTGAGGAATATCATTTCATCATTTGAGGCATTCTGTTTGACTTTGTTTTTCTTCCATTTTTTTTTCTCAAAGTTTTTGTAAGAACGTTTTAATCAAATTTATGTTACTTTAAAAGATGTTAAGCAATGGATCATATTTGCAAATTTGTAATTCTTTGCATATCATTTGAATTAAGAAACTCTGTAAACGATTCAAAGTTATGAATCTTTGACGAAGTAACATGATTTAATAACAAGGACTTTGACCTTATCCAGAATATACCCTCAAACACCATACCCCGCTCTTGTAATTAACCAATATACCCTTTTCCTTTCATAAGGTGCGGACAACATGGGGCATCATTTGCATACGACAATTACTATGTTTGTTATTTAAGACGTTCAATGACGATGATGATCTTTACAAATGAAAGAGTCGAGTAGGTGAATCCAGTTTAGGTCAGTTGCTTGAAAATTGAACTCTAAAGATGAGATTCCTTGACTTTCAAAAACACCTAGGCTATAACAGGTTCTTCTTGACAATCTTGGGAAATTAAATCTGTAAAAACTGAGCTATTCCGCTAAGGCAATTGGTTATAGAGGAAACTTGAAAGCCCTGGCCTTATGAGTAGATTACGTTCAAACCATGACATTGCTCGGACACTTGGCAATTCGGTGTTTGCTCCACTGCTCTTGTCAGGCTGAAAACTCTGTGATGAGATGAACCCTTCAGTTAA